CCGTTTCGAGTCCGTATGGATTTTCTATGATTTTTCGGGCCGAAAACCAAGAAAATACTGCCCGGACGTGACGCAACGTGCGTTCGTTGTCGGATTTCGTTCATTTTGGCCGTGGGGTGCCCGGGTGGGGCCCCACACGGGCTGGCAAAAGTTGGGTGCAATCCGTCAAACCGCTCAGGTAATTGCTGTGGAAGGGGGTGGTTTCGGTATGGGCGGAGGGAACCCTCGGTCGCACGTCTCCGCTTCGCATCCGCCAAACGTGCCCAATTTTTTTCCACGTGCTACAGTGCCCTAGCAGGGCACGCACGCAAAAATTTGTCCTGTTTCGAGTCCGTATGGATTTTCTACGATTTTCCGGAAAATATTTAAAAAGTTGGGTTTACAAATATTTAAAAATATTCCAAAAAATTCATAAATGTTAATGAATTTAAAACTTTTTCAGATAATGTTAATGAATTCAAAAATTCTTGGATTCATAAATATTAATGAATTATAAATATTCTCTGGTTCATAAATTTAAAGAATTTAAAAATATTTCGGAAAATGTTAATGAATTTAAAAATTCTTGTATTCATATATGTTAATGAATTTAAAAATATTCTCTGATTCATAAATGTTAATGAATTTAATAATATTTCAGAAAATGTTAATGAATAAAATATGTCACCTTTTTTTTATTTTTGTTTTTTATTTGTTATATTTTTTATTTCAAAATATCAATTTTTTCATCCACCAGCTTTACTATATGCACATATTTTAACAAAATCTGAACATTTCTAAAACACTTTATGAACATTTAGATACATTTTTGATTTTTTATTTTATGTGTTTTCATTATTTTTTTATTCTACAATTTTTCGATAATTGCATACCTTATTCTCTGCTATGTATATTCGATGCAAAAATTTTAAATATATTGTGAACATTTTTATGCATGGGTCGAAAAAATTTCAAATTTTCTCAGAATAAGCGTTCAATATTTAGCTATTTTTTTGAACAAACTTTGAAGACAAATTAAAACAAGATTCGAACAAACTAGATTGAACATAGAGATATTTTACATAGTCCATTCAACACTACCGAAACGAAACGAGTTTATCCGAACCTAAACGATACATAGTTCATACTTAGAACATTTTTAAAAAAACTACTCCTCCTCCTCGTCGCTAGCCAACAGATCGATGACCTCCACCGCGCCGTCACCGCCATCACCCCCGCCGCCGTCGTCGTCGTCGTCGTCGCTGACCTGGGCTAACGCTCCCAGTCGATGACGTCGTCGTCCGACGACTCCGACGCCTCCGCCTCCGCCTGTGGGACCACTGGCGGAATCGCCGCCGCCACCTGGATCGCTACCGCCTGCTCGGCGGCCTCCCTCGTAGCAGCCACCACCTCTGCAGCAGCTGCTGCAGCCACCGACGCCCGCAGGGCGATGAGTTAACCCGACGTATCGTCGGGATCGCCGTCCTCCCGAAGAACCAACTGCTCCGGTGGCAGTTCCACCTCCGGCGGGGCGGGAGAATCGGCGGGTGCCAGCACAGGTGGTGGAGGGGCCCGACGGCCGTGCGCTACTGGACGGGGGCGCGGGACAAGAAGGCGGCGGCGGTCGCCGATGAGGTCTAGCGTGACGCCGGACTCCGCCAGCCGGTACGCGCCGATGACGGCGGCGTAGTCTTTGCCGTCCCAGAACGTGTGACGGCCGGCGATGTTGTTGCGGCCGTCGGTCCGCTTCTCCTTCGCGGTGGCGCCGGGCCCGCCCCTCGGGTAGCCGTCCTTGTCGAGTTTCTAGTCGTGCGGAAGACGGCAACCCGGCGGCACGAGGAGCCCAAACCGGTAAAGCTCCTCCGTCTCCGGCATGCTCAGGCTCGACGGCCACGCGCTGGGTCCGTCGTCGCCGCCGGTGCCGGAGCTGCTGCCGCCGTGGAATGACATGTCGCCGGCGGCCTTTTGGGAGGTGGAGACGGGGGAGGAGCGGTGTTTGCAGCGACGGGCGGACGGGGGTGCGATTTATAGGGAGATGGCGGGGCAGCGGGCGGACGGGTGGTTGGGCTACTAATTCGATGGCCGGACGGGTCGGCAGTCGAGGGCGACGGCGCGGCAGACGAAGGGACGGGACGGCGGGGCGGCAGACGAGGGGACGGACGGGACGGGGCAGCGGGCCGCAGTTCACGCGCCACGACGCGCTTTCACCGGGCGACGCGCGGATTGACCAACCGACGCGCGGATTGACCACCGACGCGGTAAAAAATAACGTACATCGCCACAATAAAAAAAGCCGTCGGACACGCGTACACGTACGTACGTCGACGGGCCGCGCGGGTACGTCGCGGGGGCGGGGCTGGGGGGAGGGGAAGGGGCAATGACCATCCTACCCTTTTTTTAAGTTTTCAGGTGAAGGGGTATAGGACGATCTGGACCGTTGATGTTTCCAGGGGTTGTACCGAAGAAGAAGTGTAAATGTTTATCTGCAGGGAGTAACAAACTTAATTTGCTTTTTGTATTGGAGCATTCCATAGAGTTTGGACTTTGGAATAGCGACACAGAGTACAAAAATACATGCACGCTTGTTAATGTTTAAACCCCATATCTGTTATTAATTAAAAAATAGACGGGGGAAACAACATATACGCCTATGTCCTACCAGACAGTACTCCCTCCGTTCCAATTTACGCGTTGTGGTTTTAGTTCAAAACTAAAACCACGACAAGTAATTTGGAACGGAGGGAGTACATTTTAAGAGCGGGTCTAGATAAGGTATGCAGCAGGTGAGTAGTGAGATGGCATGAGTCTAGCCCTTTAAATTCAGTGCACTGTCGACCACTCTGCCAAATTATGTCTACTAAGTACTAACCTACTTCAAATTCCATCTACGTGCTTCATTTAGCACATCAAACTCAGATAGTTTTATTTTGCAGGGTGAATTGAGTCATTGACCGTCGGAGATCATTCTACCGCGCACTAAGTGCATCATCCTCAACACCTCTTGCTGGATTAAGAATAAATAAACGGACTGACTAATTTCCTTCGTTGGTGTGTTTGCTTTTCAATTCGAATATCTTCAATCTGCTGAAGCGTCGCTGTAAACTCTAAAGTACCCTTGAGGGGTCCCTGCTATGAGGCCATTCTCAGCAAGTACCCATCATGTGTGGATTTGTATGATTATTCATACTACGGTTTAGTAATTGTGCATCAACTATTTGAACCCTCGATTCTATTCTGCAACCAATATTAACTATGAATTTGTTTGATTACACATAGTAATTTCCTGAATGCATGATTGCTTGTTCTGCTAGCAAAACTGACGAAAGTGCAATGCATGATTGTCTTGATGCTTGTTTGGCGTGTGTGGTGCATACACAACGATCCTAGTTACTCAAGCCAAATCTGTATCCCCTATTCTTTCATGGTGCATCAAGGTGTGTTTTTTACAGAACTATAGACTCTAATGCGTTCGTCGTCAGTACTTGACGGTTCCTTGGACCCCTCAGATCGGGCTTAGATCTTTTGCAGCCAGTGCTACGTACCATTGCCTCAAGTCGGACTGTACCATAGCCTTGTTTGTGTTGCCGTCAAAGTAGATGAAAGATATAAAAGAAATGACAGTCTAGTTCAAGAAGGGAAACACCACATTGCCTCGGTACATTACAAAGATTAAACTTACAAAGGTTAATTTGATAAATGCCACTCCAAATTTGGCTATTCTGATAAATGCGATTGTAATTTTCAAACTTTAAAAAATGCCATCTCATGCCATTTTCAGTGGCATTTTAGAAGTTTGCAGTGGCATTTTTTTAAAGTAAACATATATACAAAATGTTTCTGATGTACGAAAAAAGTACAATGTGTATGCAAAAAATAGTTATCAAAATATTTATTTGAGAAAATGTTAATCATGTAACTCAAAAAATATTAAAAGTGAACAAAAATGTTATGTAAATGAAGATGAAAACTGTACAATGTTTATGAGAAGCCTAGACATAAAAACTTATGTTTTATGAAATGAAACCATATATTTGAAAAAAAAATAAAAATCTGTCCAAAAAAGAATACACATATACCAAAAAATGTACAAGATATCAAATCGTATATTTGAAAACAATGTTATTCATGTAGTTAAAGTGTTTCTTATGTATGGAGAAAATGTATAAATGTGTATGGGAAAATGTAGACATCTAAGAACAGATTTGGAAAAAAAATTAGTCACGCATTTGAATTTTTTTAAACATGAATAAAAAAATGTTCCTGATGTATTAAAAATGTATAACGTGTATGAAAAAGAGGTAGACATTAAAGATTATATTAAAGAAAGTGCTAATCTTTTAGTTTTGTCCATGATGTATACAGATTTTTTACATTATGCGTGAAAAAAGTAGACACGTGTTGAATTTTTTTGAAGAAATGATTTATTTTAAGAAAAATGAAAAAACAAAATGTAAAAAAACTGATGAAAGAACGAAGAGAAGAAGAAAAAGCTAGATAAAATGTCGATTCTTTTGCAAAGATCATAGGTGTTGTCCATTGATTTCTCAAAATTGTTGTTTCTATGGGCTGTCCACTTGTTGAGCACCTTGGTGTTTTCATGGTTGCCTTTGCATTATTGACGCTCTCTGGACCATGATCTATGCACGAACATTTTACATGTCGGGTAAATAAAATCTTATTGCGACAACTTCTTGTAGAATCCAGTGTCATACAATAAATCACCACATCTTTCAGACATAGTTCTCGTTTATATCTTGCTTGCATGTTGCTTGATAGGTAAATTGGCTTTTAGCACAACACCACCCTGAACCCCAGCCTACAAAATGAGATCTTTATAATGAAAACAACAATCATATACTTCAGATGGAAACAATAATTATAACAAGCACAATACTTACCACCAGTGACGTTCCTTTTCCTTGGTAGCTCTCTTTTCAATCACTGTCAAACTGAATCTTTTTGTACTGTTTCGCAACCAGATGCATTCGGCATCCTAGAGGTATGTATCCCTTAAACATTATCAGACGATCAATTTTTTTTCTTGGTGACACTTTAAAACTTCCCAAGTTAATGTTGTTCTCCCTTAGTTGCTTGACCATATCTTTTTTGTGCATAGAACAATGTGCCTACATGACTGACAATGCAACTTCTCACCATATGTCAACGACAATCGACGGTTTGTGTGTTGTCCTCTGCTCATTGACAAACCCCCATCGTCATCTGTCATCATAGCAGTGCAGCCACACCTAATGGATCTGCTGTTCTCCACAAGTGACTCCCCATCTCGAAGAAAATACCCAAAACAAGTTACTAGTGACGGCATCTCCAATGCTCACATGCAAATTTACTTCGGCATCTGACCGCAGAAGGGGGGGGGGGCAGTCTGCGGACACCGATGCCGGAGCCGGCCATCCAACGCTCCCCTCATACATTTCAAACACGGATCAAACTAAACTGATGAAATTCATGCAAAGACTACCGATTTTCATCTAAATCGGACAAGATTCATTACATTACATTTCTGACAAATTTCATATAAATGAGACGAAATTCATTACATTTGGGACAATGTTTTTACTAAACTCTATTCCAAACCTAATCCAGATGATTGTCGGCGCATGTTCCCCATGTCCTGCCATGAGCCCCAAGAACTGAAGCTCCGGAACTTGCCTTCACCTTCTCCAGTTCCGCCTCAACGCTCTCCAAATTTGCCCCCGCAGCCTCCGCCACTACAACTTGAGCAGCTAATTGGCCGACGATTTTCAGCTCTCACTAGTAGAAGAAGGACCTAATATGAGACACATTAGTGTCGGTTTGGTTTTGAGCCAGCACTAATGTGTCCATTAGTGCCGGTTCCAAAGGCTAGCCGGCCGTTCTCATTAGTACCGGTCCGTGGCGAACCTATAGTACCGGTTCGTGCCACGAACCGGTACTAAAGAGGGTGGTGGCAGGGTGTTGTCAGTCTGGGGCCCGTCCAGCACCTTTAGTACCGGTAACCGGTATTAAAGGTCGACGTACATAAACCCTTCGTCCCCCCGAGCCACTCTGTTCTTCCCCGTTCCCCTCACTTCCTCTGTTCTTCCCCCTCTCTCCTCGAGCTCCTCACAAATTTTGCCCAAAATTTGTCAAGATTTGAAGGCCCCCATCCATTCAAATGATCACAAAGGTTAGCAACTTTGTCCTTTCAACTCTCATTGCTAGATTAGCTCTTGCAATGCTTTGTATAGTGATTAATTTGGGAGGAATAATTATATTTGCTAGTATTTGATTTATATGCAATTTGAGCACAAAAATAACACTTAGTTTGCATATGTAGGTGTGGTTTACTTAGTGCCTTCTAAATCTCCGTCGTAACCACCGTCGATCGCCCGCACCGTCCCGTCGCCGGCACCACCTTCTGGTGAGGCTCTTGTTCATGAATGTTTTACATTACCAAATTGATGTTTATGTGATTTGGATATATAGTTACTCGTATAATTAATTATCTTACCCATACGTTGTTTGTTATACATAGTGCCATGGTTTTGATATCCGTCCCCGTCGGCCCTCGTCCTTGTTATGATTCGGATGTGGTATATTCTCTTTTAAAACTAATTGTTGCATTTCGTGTTTATGACAAATTATGCCCATCAAGTTGACATAGATATTTTTATCTAGGAGGTATGTGAACCAGAAATTCCAACCGACCCTATTGTCGAGAGGTTAAATTTAGTTGAAAGAGAAAACGAGTATTTGAAAGAAAAATTGAAAAGAATTGAGGGGGAGAAGATGGAATTGGAGTTGCATGTTGCCGATGTCGTCGATGATCACAAGATCAAGATGGAGAAAATGAGGTTGAAGATTAGAAAGATTAGAAAATATGCCATTGATAGTGTGGCTTGGTATCATTATGCTGTTGGATCAATTGTTACTTTAATTGCGATCTTCATCGCATTTGTTGTTGCATTTAA